TCACATCACTCTGATTTGAACAGTCGTCCTCATGTCTTGGTACAATCATTCTGTTGATTTCATACCAAAGTTGGAAGAAGCCGTAGACTCGAGTTTCGCCCTGCCTGGCTTTGAACACCGCACATCTGATACGTGAGTTAAGGCTATGGGATATGCACTGCTGATGAGCTCTTTCAAGAGTGAAACTCAAAAACAATCTATATTACTCTATATACTACCTTCAAGTATTTCTCAATGGTAAACTTCCTATCATTAGTCCTCCCTCCACCAGTCTCCCAACGAACAGCCCAATTTCATTACATGGTAAGTTTCGAGGTTAAATCACGTGAAAATCACGTGACAACAATGAGTTCCAAGGGTAGCACAGGTGACCCGTCTCTGTGTTATGCAATGCGCTCGATGAATCTGGGGTCCTACGTTGAAATGATTTTTAAAAATGTTTTCGAAGAGCAATAAGTTTGCATTTGGAAATCTTATCCATAAATATCATATATATATATATATATATATATATATATATATATATATATATATATATATATATATATATTCGGCCGATTCGATCCGATGATTCACGTTTATCGGAGGACGGGAAGTTACCCTAGTCAGCCCGTTGTTCGTTTCGCCTTCAGTAGAGTAACGTAAATGTTCGACACGTGCCTTCCTGTATACTGGAACTTAGGAGCCCGGGTACGTGACATGCGTTACCGCCGTTCGACTGAACTCAGTACTTTTTCACTGAGCTACAGTTCCTTTTTTGACCTGGTCTCTTCTTTGTACCTTTAGAAACCAGGGTACAAAATAAGGCTGTGTTACATGTTCAGCGACCTCAAACGAAGGACCATCTTTCTTGTGTCTCCAGTTCTGAAATAACATATGTAAAGGCTATCAAGATGGGAGCAGTTAACCAATTTGAAGGCTCCGACATGGAGTTCCACTCGGGATCGTCGAAATGGTAGTCTATTATCTGATGCACTGGGCCACCCAGGAAGGAATGCTTTCACGCAAGGGGACCGCCTCAAACATGTTCACACATTTTTGCTCTGAGCGCGCATAATCACTCGCACAAACACTTTATTTGAAACTTACTGGAAGGTTTTGATTGGGAACCATCTGATATGCTAAAATGTGCTTGAGTCTCTGAGGGACATTTACATACACTTTTTTTTCGGAAAATCAGACTAATTTCTAGTTATCATCTTTGAGGAAACTGTTCAGAAAGTTGCTGAAAGCTCTCCGAAAATCCGCGACAAATTTTACTCTTCTTGCGGCTTATCAGGTAGGTGCAGTCCCCGAGTTTCCGTCAACTTTATGTTCCACTTGAACCCAAATTGGACGAAACTGGACGAGCACATTCATTTGCACACCGGTCTGCTTTTACCAGAAGACTCAAATTAATCCCTGCTGAACAGTTCTTCTGTGATATTCTTCAGCTAAATGTGCCGCCTCATGTATCGGTTGGTACTATATCCGAGCTATTGCCGCATAGTTTCTTGAAGCTGCACATTCAGTTGAAGTATGTCATAAACGAGAGGTTCAGCTGAGATTCAGCTGGGTGTCCCATTCGTACTCACTTGGTCTGCGGATGAGAGTATTTGTATAAATTCTAGTCAGTTCTAAAGTCGTTTAGTCGTTTGGTGCAACAGGGAAGTCTGCTGCTGAGGCAAATATAACTCAGCACTTAGAGATACACCACGTTTACACACCGAACAAACTGTCTTATTTCAAAGTACCTCCCCATAAACACACTTGTGCGCTGGACGGAATCCACTGGCGGAAAAGTAATGCTAAAACTGGACTGAACAGCCCCAGTGCTATTGTTCGCTACTTGAGGAACCCAAGCACATGAAGTCAGTACATGGAGTCGACTCCGAGTGTTATGCTCTGGAATCAATAGCATCCGTTTCTAGAACTTGCCGAATGCAAACTTAAGAAGAAATCTTCAAGAAGGTACAGACACACTGCTCAGAATAGAAGATCTATATAAATTAGCTTCTGTTTGCGGAGATTGGTGGAAGAGTTAGTACATCGGGTGTGAGGAAGGATGCTGTAAGTCAAAGTCAGCAAAATCTAAGCAATTCTCAACCGTTTGGAGGGAATAACTCAGCAGTTCAACCGGGAAAAGCATCCTTGGATGCGTGTTGGATTTCTGACAATCAATCAAAGCTAGTCAGACAGCTGGTTCAAATCGATTACAGTCAGGTTTGAAAATCGGCCAATCTGCACTCGGAAGAGGTCGACTCAGTCGATGATCGATAAACCAAAATCGCCACTTGCGGTCACGTGACCTGATTGCTATTTAGCCTATGGTTTAGCCGAAAACTACCGGAAACCTTACACGCTTTGTTCAATCTTTCACTTGTTATTTTTTCAATTATAAGAGCCAGTTGAGGCATTACCACATGTTCTAACTGCACTGACTTCATCTTGAATATCTTGCTTTACTGAGCCCCTGTGTCTGTACACTGCATCCTAGAAGCATTCTGTGCAGGGCAACTGGAACTAAAGAACCGCTATATAGCCATTTTTCTCCGCGGTGAACTCCATCTGGTCATTTGCACGCCACCACTACTGATTTGAAGATCTTCCAGACTATTCCACTACCCATATTCGCTTAATCAGTGGTGCAGTGCGGGTGGGAGCATAGTGATGACCAAAAAAGCCACATGTGTATCTTGGACACCGCTGTCGTTTGTGGTGTTTAATCTTCTAGTAAATTCCACCTTCGTTTTAGTATTTACTTATTCATCCGATCAACAAGCTGGTATTTCCATCTGTAAGCTTGCCCGTCTCGTCCCATTGGTGTCAGTTTCATCGTCACGTCGAATGGACATCAGCACCAGAAATCTCTCAAACCAAAGTAATCATGCCCTTGGCGGTCAAATGGCCAGTAATTTTGCCCAACCGTGAAAATCAGAATTAGAAGCACAAAAAACAGACATCCATTTCAAAATTACTTCATTTCTGATGCGAAATTCGTTCAGTAAGGGAAGTCAGTCTATGTTGAAAAACCGGAGAGCACAATACGACTCATCAGCAGTGTGAGTCTCATGAAACTCCAGTGGGGAGTCTTGAACGCATGACCTCCCAGCTAGTGGTCTGAACAGTTAACCGTTCGGTCACGAGCAGCTGATCAGCACTGGGATTAACTCGCACTTACGCAGGACAGAGCGCTACTCATTTTTCAATTACATCATGCGATCACACGTGACGGACGGCTCCTCAAGTACCGGCTTTTCAAATGGAATTTTCTACCGTCAGATGAAGCCAGTCGTAGCCGAAACCATCCTTGTCCCAGTGTACGAATCTACTCATCGTCGGTTTGGAGGAACTTCCCACGGCTTGGTAACCAAACCGTCACAAATACACTTGAACTGAATTCGTAGCATTTTGTTTCAGTCTAGATGTACCAGAAAGGGAGCTTCCTGGAACCCTGAAATCAGAAGCCAAGGGACACACAATGAAACGCATACCTAGAGACGGAGTCAAACCGCCGACTTTCAGTCTACTACGGAGAGAACTGCCGAGAAAGCTCGCTCACCCGGATTAAGAGTGACATCGGGAAGCCTCTTGTGTGAAAAGAGACGATGCAATACTCTCCTCAGGCGTGTTTTCATTTATGCCACGTGTGCTTGGACCACCCGGTTTTTTGGCCTTTCAAATCAGCTGTTTGCAGCTGAATGAATTAGTTCATGTTCGGAACTACTCTCTTATGGGAATAAAGTGAACCAAGGATGATGACTTCTCGTTGTGAGGTAGAAGCAAAACATCGTGGGCCATTCTTTGACGGTGCTGTGTGCAGCCACATGACCATATGAGGGCAAAAAGCTCACAGATAACCCTCGCAAGAATTATAGCCTGCTGAGGGAAATAGAACGCATTTGACCGTTTAATCTAGGGCGCGAAAAAGGCATATTTTACACCATCACTGGGGCCCTTGTAATCCTTAGGATGAGTCGCTTCATCTTGTTCAACTCAGCCAAATGTTTTCTTAACGGATGGCTTTCATCCCCATCCCTTGATGGCCGTTATCCTACTAATGTGTTGAAATATTGCTAGCTCGGGTGAGTTTTTGTTGATCAATTCGCCGAACTTGGCAGTTGGCTTGCAAACGTTTCGTCACCATACAAGGAGACATCATCAGTGCACGGTTGGGGGTACCTCCTGTTTGCCAGCGTGCGTTTATATAGCATTTGAAGGCCATCTGTTATCTCTTAACGCGATTCGCTAGTTGGGTGACAGCTGGTCTAACCAAAGAACGAACGATTTCCGGTGAATTCTATGTACAATCAGTGATGCATCCATATTGGATAGAGGTCCACTACTGAGATGGTCATCAGTTAGAAAGGCGTTTTTTTTATTGAGTACGTTTATTGTTTGATCTTGATATGAAGCTGAGCTATCTGTTAAGCTCTACGAGCTCGGCTCCGTACAATACATCAAAGCACTTTGTAGCGCCCCGGCGGACACACACAGGCAGAAGCGTAGTGGTGCAGTAGTGTAGTATCAACAGCGCTGACTGTCTAAACCGAGTCGTTGGCCCATTAAACGGTTCATCACTCTTGATGACTGGCACCAGAAGTGTGCGAGTCTATAAATTCGTCGATTCCGTTTATCAGATCACGAAAATGCTGTGTCAGGCGATGTTGGCGAAAGAGCGTAAACACACACATGCACAGTGATTGGTTGACGCGTATCGACCTGAATTCTCGCCAGCCTAGTCTTTGATACTTTCCAGTAACTCAGAAAAAAATCAAGTTCACCCTACTCTTCGATAGAACTGAATGAGTGTTACTCAGACAGCGGTCTAAAAAACTATGTATGTGCTCTAAAGCCTCAAGGAATATCAGTATAGAATCGCCTGTGATTTGACTGATTCTAATCCCCAAATTATCGATTTTCAAGCTGGACATAATAAACCTTTGTTGCGTCTAGTTTATGATAGGCTGTACTGCGCACACACTGCCTCGTGCTTCAATCGGAACGATAATCAGGATCACTTGTATGTGTTAACGGGACTTGTCGAAGACCCGTTAACATCACTCTTTTGTCCTGGGGTAATCACCCTGGTGGATCTACCCTAAAAAGGAGTAGGTACTGGAATTGAGTTTCGAAGTTACTGAAGCTATGACGGAGTTTCAACTCCACACATCTGACCTGCAACACCAGCATGTTACTAAGCACCCACTAGCGCACTCTGGACGAGTGTTAATTCTCACATCTCAAACGGGCGAACGTGTTCACGCTTGAACAAAGTTCAAAGCCCTGCAGAGCCAAGGATGTACACTACTGATGAGCTCTAATAAAAGCAAAACCCGAGACCAGCGATTTCTCCCCTTTGCTACATAGGAAAATGTCGGTAGCTCAGGTAGAGTAGATGGTCGTTGGCTTGTTCGCTGAGCTGGGCAATTTGATTTCAAACGTTTCATCACCAGTCGAGTTGACATCATCGATGCGTTATTGGGGAGCGTAGCAGTGCGTAGCAGTGGGTTAATGGTTGTGTCTAACTTGTGCCAATCACTGACCCATCGCTACGCACAACTACGCTCCCCAATAACGCACTGGTGATGTCAACCCGAATGGTGATGAAACGTTTGAAATCAAATTGCCCAGCTCAGTGAACAAGTCAACGACCATTTCTCCCTTTTAGTGTCAGCTCACCAGAATGATTAGCCCAGGACAGATGGACGACTGCTCAAACGAGGGAGATGTAAGCGTGGATATTCAAGAGAGTGAAATAGTTTTCTGGACACAATGCTACTTATGAGTATGATGAAAATTCTTCAACAACCCACCACAGGCACCACCCATGAGGGGAGTAAGCGTCACCCGTATACGTGCAATCTGATTTAGCCTCGCGAGAAATAAGAAAGATGGAGGCTCGTGGTGCGAAGGTTTAAGTACATCACAAACAGAATGAGCCCTACTGGCGGACGCTTGCGCAATGCCCACAGAGTCCTTCACCAAAATCTTCAAAGTCCAGTATTAGCAAGCTGATCGCCCCTGCATTGCGGTCAGAATTTAAAGCCGAAGGGCTTGGTTGGTTTGGTCGCTCTTATGTCAACGTTTGGCGCTCTTGCAGTACCAGAGCCAACGTATAACCAAACGAAAGTGCCACATCAGTTTGGTGACATGGGCCGGATCGGTGCAAGCAGCAGAGCTGATACGCGAAAAGATGCTACTGCTAAAGTCGTTGACTCTTAGTCACAGTTATCTCCAAACCTCCATTCTGTTCAACCGTTTCTGCAGATATCAGCTGTTGACACATCAGTTTTGGCATTCACGAGCCAACACAAAAAACTACCGCTCCGTGTCCGTTATTCACATAGAAGTTAGACGCCAGTGTGTACTACTAGTGTATGATGGCATCATCTAACCCTACCTGATGAGTCCGAGAAGAGCAACAGTGGACTGTTGAAGAGCTTTCATTGTTAATGGTGTCAGGAGGTTTGGGTTTTTTGTAGAGAATTCTTCCTTTAAGTGAAGCCAATCTATGTTGAACAGTCGAAAAGCACTGTACAGCCGCTTCAAACTTATTCGGAATCCTCAGCAGCGTGCATCTCACGAAGCTCCAGAGAGTCTCGAACCCGCGACCTCCCGGCTAGTAGTTCAAACGCTCAACCATTCGACCACGGGCGGCTGATCAGCAGTGTGAGTAACCCACAAGTGCGAGTTAATCAGGATATAGAGCCGCCCATCCTTCAATCACGGCATACACATCACGCGGTCACACGTGTTGACTGGCTCCTCGAGCAACGACTTCTCAGATGGAAGTTTCACTCATCGGGTAAAGTTTATTCTTCATTTCATTCTTCATTTTATTTCGTGAAGCACAAGAGTTTTCCTTTTTTCCATGAAGCAAACTACTCACAAGGTTTCTGAAAACTCTTCGATAGTGCACGACCAGTTTCGCTCTTCTTGGGGTTTATCAAGTAGGCACAGAAAATGAGTGTATTTGTCGGAATGGTACTTTCTTATTTGAATATCTCTCTGGTCACCTGGATGTTCCTGATGATGGGGGAGTGTTTTATCACGTGACTACAAGGGAACACAAAAATCTTTCCGCAAGGATTATTTCTTTTCATATCCGTAAGTTACATTCATGGAGTACTGATCAAAGCGCTGTTCACTAACTGATTTTCTGAGCATGTTAGTGAACCACAGGAAACGCACAGTGGACCGTGACAGTCGGATACGTCATTTGGATCGAGACAACCCTGTGGGATGCATCGGAATGGGACCCAAGTGCTATTCTTCTCTGGATTAACATGCTGTGGAAGTCCGTGTTTGTTTGGCTACCAACTCGCTTTATTAAACAAGTTTCAATTGATAACTCTTGTCTCAGCGATACTTCTTGCTCCTGACCATGCGTCCTCCTTCCTGTTTGCGTATGTCAGTGATCAACTCTCGGTTCATCCTCCAGTCACTCCGACTTGGTTTCACCCGACTGATCGTTCCTTGAACAGTCGGTCGATCGATTCCTCAATTTACTTGTCATCATGTGATCACAAACGAGTTATAAACCGATGAATATCTGAAACCCCAAGAGAAACATCTCAAGGTTTTATATTTTGATGAGCAGCTGATTGAACTGCACCATACTCGCCATCGTCCAAGAAGGCCTGCACTAGCTTCAGCTCCGATCACCAGAAACACTTATCTGTTGCAGTTTTGTAAGAAACCGAAAAAGGTGATCAAACTGTCCTTCATACGGACCAGTTTTGTGTTTCACAAAATTTACGCTAAAAGTTCCGATGCTCTTCTGCCGCGTCGGACCGGTGAATTGATACTCTGAATAATGTAAGACCTCCACGAAACGCCAGTCGTAGAGATAAACTGGAAGGCCTTTATTTCATCTGACACCTCTTTATTCGCACTCGACTACTTTGTAAGTTCTAGGTGAGGAGAGTGAGAAACTGTTGACGTCGCCTTTACCCTGATAGCTGTGCAACCGTGTCTCCGCCCTATACAACCAGTTTTTTTTCTTTTCAAG